AGAAACTGAAACCTCCCTTCACCAAGAAAATATCGGAAAACCAAAAGATTTGAACCCTCAAACTTACTGCAATGCGAAACCAACCAAAAGTTTGATGCCCTTAACTAAAGTCTATCCATTCAGTGATTGGAACTAGGGTAAGTCCTAAATCTTCAAAAAATTTAAGAAATCCTTGATTATCAGCGCAAGAAGCCTTTTCAACTACTAAAGGGTATTCCCGAGAAGGAGTATCCGTTTTCCCATAAGCGCGTAAGGGTCTTGATCTTCTGCAAAAAAGGGCGACCTCTGATAAATCTTCCTTAACACCCTATATTCCAAAAGTCCTGTTGAATCCTGACTACTGACACTAACAATGAAATCTTCATCATCATCAAACAAATCGTTATCCTTAAAGTGTTTATTTGATTGATCACTTGTTGAATTAATGATACCATGTCTGAGAGGTGAATTACCCTTCTGGATTCCTCCTCTTTCCTTCACTAACCTCGGTGAGTGCTTCTTTCTTTTCGAATAAAAAAATGGAAGGGGAGGAATAAATTTCCTTGGTGGCAGTAAATCAGGGTTAAATCTAGGGCTGCTATCAACGAAAGCGTCAGTTGTCTTGGTTGCCTTATCACCTTCCAAAGGTTGAGAATCTTTACTTTCTTCATTTCCTTGATTTGTGACAAACTATTGGGGGAAGACGAATAGTTTCTATTCCAATCAGATCTAACAAGAGGGATTGGCTTGACTTCTGATCTTCTCCATTAGGAGTATGGAGGCTCAAATGAAAGGGAAAGATATGTTAAATCATAGAAGTACACTGCCATGGAAAAAGGAAAAGAGCCGCTTATTCGGAACCAAGGTCTCTTTAAGGAAGATATAACGTTTGCTAAGGCAGTAAAAGAAAGATCACTTCACAATTGATAGAGGCGCTTATATCCCATTTGCAACTAAAACAAAGACAGGAATTGATCAAATCTCAAGTGAAGTTACTACGAAAGCTAGGATTGTTCTAAGGAGCAGAGGACCTCTTTTCAAGAAAATAGTTGCTGAAAAAAGACGATCTTTTTGGATCAAAAAAGTGTTGTGCTCATGATGATTGGAAGACAATTTTTGATGCTATAAAGAGAGAATTTTCGTAAGGAGGTTCTTTTTTTTTTCCTGTAAGGAGGTTTTAATGGAGTTAACCACAGCAAGGGTCAAAAGGCTTTCTCATTGATGGTTGATTCCCCCATTCAATCTATGGTCTTACAAGAAGATCTCCAACCTATTAAAAGAAGTTTCATCTTTATCGAGGGGTTATTCATTCAACTAATGGCAGCGTTGACAAAGAGGCTTTGGAAGATGTTCTTTCAACCTATTCTGAGGACCAAGAAGTCAGCCTTAGCAATATTGATTTAATTTAGAAGATTGAAGTGTCTTTGAGGATTTTTCTCCTTCTTTAATTTGTTCTACCTCATTTATAGAAGGTTCTCATGATTTTTTAGCCATTATTGAAGATCTTTCTATTCTTTTCAACTCCCCAAATATTTGTTTATTCGCTTGGCAGTTATTTTTTAATCTCTTTAGGTGACGGTCTTTTGTAGAATTGCAAGTGTCGAAGAAGATTGTTATTCAAGTCTCTACTTGATCAGATGTTTGCTATTTCTTTGGCATTAGGTTTTTTGGTCTTGCTTTTGCAGATTGGAGAGTGTGGTTTTGATTTTAGTTCTACTTTCTTGTATCTTCTACAGCTTTGTTCTGGGCATTTTTTATTTTATTTTTTCACTCCTTTTGGGAGTTTTTATCCTTGAATATTTATCTTCCTTTTCATATTATCAATGAAAAGTTTGTTCCTTGTTAAAAAAAATATAAAGAGAGGATTTTCTCAAAGTTACTTGATTAATCCTTTTATGGATGGTAAAGCATTATTAAAAGTTGAAGATGATAGCATGTTTTGCAAACAGATAGCAGTTGGTAAGTGGAGGAGAACGATAAGTTCCATGTGAAAATTGAAAAATGGGATTCTGATAAGCATAGCAGGAAAGAATGGGTACATACATGGTTATGGAGCTTGGATTAAACTTAATGACTTTTTTTTTTAACAAGATACGAACTTTTTATTGATAGATGAAATATGAACAAAATTGTTCCAAGGAACAAACTCCCAAAGGAGAGAAAGCAAAAAGAAAACAAACTACAAATAAGCTATAAAGGTCTCCCAATTCATACAAATCATACTAGGGGAATAGGAAGATAAAATGTCGGAAAGAGCACAACATTGAGAGGCTTTTGAATTTGACAAGGTTGAAACATTCAAATGACGAACAATGAGAATCATCAAAGACCCTTAGATTCCTCTCAAACCATATGATTAAACTTAATGACTTACCATTGCATTCCAGGAAAAGAGTTAGTTTCGAAGCCCTACGAACTCATCTCGAAGGTTTAGTGGACATTTCTTCGAAAACTTTAAATCGAATTGTAGGGGTGCAAGAAAAAAACGACCGCTTAAACCAAAAAAAGCGGACCGAAACCGACCGTGGTTCGGTTTTGAAACGATTCGATTTTTGGTTTCGGTTTTATCCAGACATAAAACCAATGTTACCCGTCGACTTCGGTTTCAACTTGCACAAACCGCTTAGACCTGAGCCACCCGATAATAGCATTCTTCCTTCTAAAAAAATAATAATGAATAAAATCCTTTGTGACGGCTTAAACTGATGAGAGTTGGCAGCTACATGTGGTGTCATTTGTCACTTGTCACGGTCATAATTTAATCATTAGTTCTTTGTCAAATAAATAAATAAATAAAATACTTGAGTCAGCTCAAGACCCCAGATGCACAAATCCCAGTACTTATATTTTTTTTGCTTTGGAAAACCCAGCACTTATATTTACTTCTTGGTTAAATTAAAAAAAATCACTTGTCCCAAGGACCCAAACACAAGCACACAAATCCCAGCGAACAACCCCTCTTCTTCTCTTAGTTTTTTTTTTTATGAAATATACAAAAGGCCACGTGGGCAATTACAAGAAAGCCTTCCAGCTTGTAATAAGTTCATTTAGAGAGTAGCTATTTAAGGGGGTGAAACATTTACACCAACCAAGAGCTAGAGTAGTAACCCTATCAAAAAAGATGTTAAAGGGGAGCGCTTTGTCATTGAAGACCCTATTGTTTCTTTCCAACCAAAGACTCCAAAGGAAGGCCCGAACAAACTGGGTCCACAAGATCATTTTTCCTTTCTTGAAAGGATGACCCGCCAAAAGTTGATCAAGGAAGATTGTTGGTTTGTTGTGTAGTACTGTCTTCCATCCAAATGTAGAAAGGAGATAATTCCAAAAATGATTTGCATATATGCAATGAATAAAAAGGTGGCCCTGTGTCTCTGATGCATCCAAACAGAAATGGCAGCAGCTTGGGGAAAGGATATAAAATGGTAGTTTTTTCTGAACCCTATCATGAGTGTTGATCGCCGCATGACTAAGCTCCCAACAGAAAAATTTTACTTTTCTAGGGCATCTCCCTTGCCAAATCCGGGGGAAAAGAGTAGAGGTGGATAAGGTTGTGTTTGTGGTGAGGATACGGTAGGCCGATTTTGTGGACAGGTACTATTGGTTTCAAGGGGCCAAA